CCGAGTGTAGGCGGAGCCCACAAAGGCCCTGGGCTCCACCCCTCGCTAGTAGCCAAGGCTCGAGGACGGTAGGCACGTCGGTTTTCCGTCGCAACGGGAAAACCGTGGTGTAGCGGGAGTAGTCGTCCACCACAATCAGGAATTAGCGCTCCTGACGTGGGCCAAGGACCGGGGAGGGGCCTCCGACGTCCAAGTACAGGGTCTGGAAGGGAGCCGTGTTGGGGGGGAACGATGAGGTGTGAGGGGCAGCGCGCTGCCGACCCTCGACGCAAGGAGTGCACAGCGGCGCAGGCGAGCAGGGAAGCAATGCAAGCGACTCTGGGAGACCTGAGACCAGACGGTGACGTGCCATCCTACTAAGACGTGGGAACGACGGGTGACCTAGACGGTGATGCCAAAGGACCGACGGGTGGGTGAGTGACCGACAGTCGCACGACACAGCAGCTACCTGACTTGACCTGACCTGACCTGACTTAGTGTGGCGGGACCCAGTGTGTAGTGAGTAAAGACCAGAGCCCGGCTCCCTGGGGAAAGTAGCCAGAGGGGCCCCAGTGACACTGTCTGTGCAGGGGGCAACAGACTCGTCTAAAGGAAAAGTGGTGACTACTCCGAGGTCGTGGAGGTGGCTGACACCCACCAAGTTCCTGGAGAACGAGGGGGTGTAGTAACCTGTAAGGACCCCAGAGGGAGCCGTCGGACACGGGAGAGTGGTGGTGCTGTGGGCAACCACCGCTCCCACTGAGGGGTCAGCCAAGGCGACAGTGACCGGGGTGCGTAGCGGCGTGAGGTCGGTGTGGTCACGAAAGAAATAGCTGGACGCCCCTGAGTCGAGCGTGAACAAAAGGGACGCAGACTGGGTGGTCGGACCTGTGCAAGCTACTCTAGCTGGTACAGCACTAGCAACCTCTACAGCACCTAAGCTGGACAAACAAGAGTCATAGCCAGAACGATCAACACTAGAGTCATCAGCATACATCACAGAAACATATTGTACAGCATTATCTAACTCTGCGGCTAACTCTGCGGCAGACGTGCGATACAACTGCGTGCCAACAGTGCGGACCAGTGAGGTCCAGTCTGGGGTAGAGCGGGTGGGGCCAAACTGGGCGCGGTAGCGGTCAGTAAGCTGCGCAAAGCACTGACCCGCAGGGTGGAGGCGGCCACAGATGCCGTCTCTGCGCGGCCCAGTCTGCACCCAGTACTTGCAAGGGGGGTGCTGGACCGGGCCACGCGACGTCCAGTTGGGCGGGCCGCTGCTGCTGACAGAGCTCCCTGGTCCAGGCGGCCCCCACTGCTGCTGCTAGGTCTGCTGGCGCTGGCCCTGGAACTGCTGCTGTCGCTGCTGCTGTGGCTGCTGGTGCTGCTGCTACTGTTGCTGCTGCTGCTGATGGGGCTGCTGCTGCTGGGACGCCCCACTACCTCCTCCTCCACTGCCTCCACCTCCACCTCCACTACCACTCCCACCCCCTTCCGCCGCCGCCACCACCACTCCCGCAACCCCCCCCACCACCGCCCCCTCCACCACCTCCACCGCTGCCCCCTCCGCCACCCCCACCACTGCCACCACCTCCTCCCTTCTTACCGCTCTTCTTGCCCCCTTTGTTGCCAAAGGCAAAAGCTGCAACCTCGGATGCAGTGGCAACAGAGGCCGAGTCGACAGAAGATGGGGGGTAGGACGGCACTAGAGGCAGCCGCAAGGGAGCGGGCAAGGTCCTCAACAGTAGTGAGCTTCTTCTCAAAGAGGTCAATAGTGAGGGGCATGGGGTTGACAGTGAGGAAGTGGTCACGGGCAGTGGCAAAGCGGTCAGGGAGGCGGGTGGAAAGGAGGTACAGTGTCATCCACATCGCGGGGGGGTTGGTGGCAAGCAGGTCGGCGTCAGGGGCAGCAGAGCGGAGCTGAGCATCAAGCGAGCGCAAGTGCAGAATGAGGTCAGCAACACGCGGAAACGAGGGAAGGTCGGGGAAAAGGAAGGGCAGCACAAGACGGCCAAGGGACGCAGTGGTCGGGGTGGAGTACCGTTTGACTACCGCGTCGAAAAGGCCCTTGGCCGTCACCTCCTGTTCGAAGTGATGCTGCTCAGATAGTGGCAGGAGGTCGGTGATGGGGAGCACGGTAGCCTCGTCCCGCGCCGCCCAGCGACTGGCCGCCAACTGCGCCTTCTCAAAGCGAGCCTCATCTGTCACAATCTAAGAATTGACTAGAATAACAAAGTTACAAGCAATATGTATGAAACCCTAATCTAGAAGTAGGGCAAAACAGTAACACCTAGACAAAATACAACATATAAAATATATGTTGACATCATCCACCTCCGACGGGGAAGCACCTAGGGGGTCGGGATCCTTCGGGGCAACGAGCTTGCCGGTGGCGTGCTCCAGCAGGCGCACGTCGTTCTCGATCCTAGACCCTAGGTACAACTTAAGCTTGCGAAGCCATCCAGGGAAATTGATCGGGCGGCCCTCCGGATCGAACGTGAGAACTCGCGAGGTAGACATAGTCGGGTATGTAGGAACAACGAGCGCGGAGGGGTACTGACTGGTGCGGTCTAAAACGGTTGAGTGCGGTTCTGTGCGGTTGAACGCGGTTGAGTGCGGTGGAATGCGGTTGAGTGCGGTTGGGTGCTGTTCCAGGGTGCAGGTGACAGGAAGGGCGGCGGGTTAGGCTCTCCAGGTGGGGCGGCGGGTGGGGAAACAGGTGGGGTGGCAGGTACGGGTGGGGCGGCAGAACTGGTTGGTGGGGCGGCTGGTTAAGGGTGGGCCAGCAGAACTGTGAGATCCCCGATCGATCCTAGGGGGGGTTACAGGCGCGTTTGCCTGGGGGGTTATGGGCGCACTGACCCGCTACTGAAACAAGCCCTTTTATCCCAATGGTCTAGTGGTTGGGATTCTGACAGGTGGCACGCGAGGCTTGCGCATGTCGGCGTCGACACCATCACGAGCTCGGCGAAGCACGAGGTAGCCACCGGCCTGGACATCAAGCCGTCGGCCTGCACTGACTCTCCGTGTGTCTCGTGCGTCGGTGGGAAGCTGGCGCGGCACACCTTCCCCGACAAGGGCTCCGACGCCGATGACGCCCTCGCTGTCGTGCACATCGACCTGTGCGGGCCGTTTCGGGTGGCTGCCAAGGATGGCAGCCCGTATTTCCTGCTGCTGAAGGACCGCAAGACCCGCTATGTGTGGGTGAGGCCGGTCGCCAAGAAGTCCGACGTGCTGCGGGAATTCGAGAAGTGCCTGGTGGTGGCTGAGCGGCAGACGAAGAAGTCGGTGTTGATGCTGCGTTCTGACCGGGGAGGGGAGTTCCTCGAGAAGCAGTTCACTGACTTCGTCGACGGCAAGGGAATTGTCCACGATCTGACCTGCCCCTACACACCGCAGCAGAATGGCATGGCGGAACGGGAGATGCGGACGGTGGTGGAGTTGGTGCGAACGATGCTGCTGCACATGGGCGTGCAGCACCACTGGTGGCACCTCGCCCTGCGGCAGGCCGTCTGGGTCCGCAACTGCCTTGAGAGGTCGACACTGCCGCCGGGGACGACGCCGTACCAGCTGCTCGACGGGAAAAAGCCCGACTTGTCGCTGGCACGCGTGTGGGGCTGCATGGCGCAGTTCTTGGTCCCCGAGCAGCAGCGTGGTGGAAAGCTGAAGCCGAAGGCCCGGTGGGGCCTTCACCTCGGTGTGTCGGAGGAGAGCAAGGGCTGGGAGCTCCTGGACCTCACCGACAACCGGGTGGTCACCACGTCGGACGTGGTGTTCTACGAGACGATGTCGCTGGAGGTGTGGAAGTCGGCGCACGGGCCGGTGTCGGGGAGGACGGCGGCTAAGCCGCCTACGGACACCTCGACGGCGACCCTTCCTCTGCTCGCCGAGATTGGCGAGCCAGCTGCTGATCCCCTCTCTCTCTTCCCCTGCCCCCCGTGCCCCGCCCCTCGTAGCCGACCTGCAGAAGCTCCGGCGATGAGGGGAGCAGTGGACGTCGCCTGTGGCACCGGCCAAGAGCATCGCCGGTGGTCGACGTGATGTCAAGCAAGTGGAGCAGCGGGTGGAGAGGAAGCAGCCGACTTTGCTGAAGTCGGTGAAGAAGGTTGCAGCAGAGAAGCCGCCGACAGGGGAGCAGCCAACTGGGACGCCGACCAAGGAGTTGTCGTCGACCAGACAGTCGGTAGGAGAGCCGATGACAGGGGAGAAGTCGGCAGGGACGCCGACTTTAGTGCAGCAGGACGTCGAGGGCAGCGACGCCGGTGACACTGGAGGGGAGCAGTCGGGCGCCGAGCAGTCCACCGACAGCGATGTGGGGGAAGCCAAGGCCGAGGAGCCTGGACCACGTCGTTCAGGCCAAATTCGAAGGCCGCCTGACTTCCTGTCCTACCATGCATGCCTGCCGCCGGCTGCCTACACCACGGTGTACGACGAAACCGATAACAACCTGCTATACGACGACGCCGAGGAGGACGCCGATCTGCCAGAGCTCGATCCCGACATGCACGCCGACCCCGAGCACCGCTGGGACATCGCGACAATGACGGTGAAGGAGGCATTGGCGAGCTAGAAGGGCAAGGCGGTGAAGGCCACCATGGACAAAGAGATCCGCAGTCTCATCGGCATGGGCACGTGGGAGCTGGTCGAACGCCCACGAGGGGTGAACATCATGAAGAGCCGGTGGGTGCTAATGACCAAGTACGATCTTCCTCAGCATCGTCTGTCAAAATAGATTTATATCTATTTAGTATAATCTGCCTGTAGTGTAGCTGTTGTGTAATTCTCTTGTATGGTGGTGCACCTCTTTCACCTTTGTTAGGTTGCTATATGTACTCGTGTGCTATAGTGAACCCCCAACCATTTCTCAATCCTCCTTGGCACAACTCTCTCGACACTCGCTTGGCCTAGGCTTCTAAGCCTAGGCCCTAACCCGGTTCCTAAGTTAAGATCGTATCGTAACTTGGTATCGAGCGGTTCCTTTCCTACGGACCGAATTTTTATGGGCCCACCGCTAGCCTCTCGCTATGGCGTGCCCCGTTGCGCGGCCCGTAGCGCGCCTCGTGAGCACTTCCTTGCCGCAGCCCGTCGCCCACACGCTACCCGCTGCTTCTGCCCGTCGCCGACGCGCTACCCGCAACTGCATCCCGCCGCCCGCGCGATATCCGCTGCTGCAGCCCGTCGTCCGTCCCGTCGCACTGCCGCCCGTCGCCAGATCCCTGCCACCCGTACGCTCTCCGCTGCCCGTCGCCAGATCCCCGCCCGCCCTCCTGTCGACTTCGCAACTGCTGTGAAGGGAGTGGCGGGAGTCGCGAGAGTGGTGGGAGTGGCGGGAGAAGCTGCTGCTACGCCCTTGCACGCGCCAGATCGTCCGCGACCCGCACCCCGCACCCCGCCCGTCGCCCGTACTCCACCCGCACCCCGCACCCCGCCCATCGCCCGTGCGCCACCCGCACCACGCACCCCGCCCGTCGCCCGTACGCCACCCGCACCACGCACCCCGCCCGTCGCCCGTACGCCATCCGCACCACGCACGACGTCCGTGCCCCCGTCCGCGAGACCCGTCCGCACCCCGTACCTGCACCCAGACCGCCGTTCTGCCCCAGATCCCACCCCCCCCCACCGATAGCTGCCACCCCACCCCCATCCCCGGCTCCGTTTCCAGCGGGAAGGGGAGGAGGTGTGGCCCGAAGGGGTCGGCTGGGGGAGGGGGAGAGGCGGGGTTGGCGGCTCATGTAAGGGGGAGGTTGAGGGGGTGGGTGATCCATCTGCAGCTACTGCCGCCACACCTCCCCCTCTCTCTCTCCGCCGCTGCTGGATCAGGGGGTGTGGGTGGGTGAGTCCAGCTGCAGCACCAGCCGCCCCCTCCTCCTGTTTCTCACTCCTGCATCTGCTGCTGTTGGGGGGGAGGTTGAGGGGATGGGTGATTCAGCTGCAGCACCTACCGCCACTACACCTCCACCTCTCTTTCTCCGTCAATGCTGCTGTGGGGGGAAAGGTTCAGGGGGTGTGGGTGGTGAGAGTTCATACAGCCGCCTCCTCCTCTCATCCCCTGCCCCGTACCTCCCGTATTGCCCGTACTTCCCCGTGCTTGCCCCGTGCCCGTGCCCGTGCTGTCTGCCCCGTGTTCCCCGTGCTTGCCCCGTGCCCATGCCCATGCTGTCCGCTCGTGTTCCACGTGCCCGTGCTGTCCGTACCCGGTTGTGCCCCACCCGTTTCACCCGTGCTGTCCGTACCCGGTTGTGCCCCACCCGTTTCACCCGTGCGTCCCGTGCTTCCCGTGCAGCCCCCGTGCTCCTGTGCTGCCCCCGTGCTCCCGTGCTGTCCCCGTGTCCCCGTGTTGCCCCGTTCTGCCCGTGTTGCCCCGTTCAGCCCGTGTCCTGCCTCGCTCTGCCCGTGTTGCCCCGTTCTGCCCGTGTTGCCCCGTTCAGCCCGTGTCCTGCCCCGTTCAGCCCGTGTCCTGCCCCGCTCTGCCCGTGTTGCCCCGCTCAGCCCATGTCCTGCCCCGTTCAGCCCGTGTCCTGCCCTACTCTGCCCGTGTTGCCCCGTTCAGCCCGTGTCAAGCCCCGTTCTGCCCGTGCTACCCTGTTCTGCCCGTTTGTGCCCTACCCGTGCTGTCCGTACCCGTTCGTGCCCCACCCGTGCTGTCTGTTCTTGCTCGTGCCCCACCCGGTCTGTGCTGCCCGGTCTCGTGCTGCCCGTCACCCCCGTGCGGCCCATCCCGTACAGCACCTAGTTGCTACCCGAACCCGCTACCCGTACCCGTGCTCCTCGCACACCGTGCACCTGCTGCGGGGCGTTCAACTACAGCCGGGCACCTGTTCCACCGCGGTGGTTCAGATGCTGCTTGGTGGTTGCTGATTGTCAGCTTCAGAGGGGGCCCCTTGCTGGTGTTCCCACGCCCTGTAATGGGGTTTTACAGGTGTACCCCTTCAAGGGGGGCTCTGCACATGGCTATGCTCTTCAGCCAAGGAGGATTGAGAAATGGTTGGGGGTTCACTATAGCACACGAGTACATATAGCAACCTAACAAAGGTGAAAGAGGTGCACCACCATACAAGAGAATTACACAACAGCTACACTACAGGCAGATTATACTAAATAGATATAAATCTATTTTGACATCGTCGCCGTCCTCGACCTCAACCTGATGCAGCTCGACATGAAGAACGCCTTCCTGCAGAGTGTTGTACATGTACCAGCCGAACTACTACAACAACGGGACCGGTCGGGTGTGCAAGCTGCTGAAGAGCGTGTACGGGCTGAAGCAGTCGCCGCTGCTGTGGTACAGGGCACTCGACGCCGTGCTGATGGGCGCCGGCTGGAAGAAGAGCCAGGTCGACGAGGCTCTGTACTTCAAGGTCGAAAAGATGGCCTGGTGGGTGCTGGTCTACGTCGACGACCTGCTCGCCGCCAGCAGCAGTGCCGAGATGCTGAAGGAGCTGAAGGAGCTGCTGGAGGCCGCCTTCGAGCTGCGAGAGATCTCGCCGGTGCAGAAGTACCTCGGGCTGGAGATCGTGCGCGACAGGCCAGAGAGGAAGCTGTGGCTGCACCAGCAGGGCTACGCCGACAAGCTGCGCAGGCGTTTCTTCGACAAGGAGCAGACCGGGCGCACCCTGAAGATGCCGGTCTCCGTCGACGCCTACGCAGAGCTGATGTTCGACGACGAGGAGGCACAGGAGCGACAGGAGGAGGAGTACCGGCAAAAGGTCGGCTCGCTGCAGTTCGCGGCGACGACGACGAGGCCGGACATCGCCTTTGCCTGCAGCAAGCTGGGGAGCGGCCTCACGGTGAGGAGCGACCAGCACTGGCGCGAGGTCGACCGCTGCCTCGCCTACCTCGCCAACACTCGTGACACCGCCCTGGAGTTTGGCGGTGGACCTGAGTCGCTGAAGCTGGTCGGCTATGTGGACGCCGACGACGCCGGCGACAAGCTGAACCGGACGAGCACGGGCGGGTACGTGTTTGTCTACGGAGGGGCCGCGGTATCCTGGTAGAGTCAGCGCATCAAATGCGCGACGCTGTCGTCGACCGAGTCGGAGTACGTGGCAGCCACTGAGGCTGGCAAGGAGGGACGCCGACTTCGCTTCCTCCTTGTAGAGTTCCGGCTGCTGGACGCCGGGACACCGACTGTCCTTCGGGTGGACAACAAGTCGGCCATCACAGTCGCTGAGGGTCTGGGGCTGCAGGGCAACCTCAAGCACATGGAGCGACGCTACGCCTGGCTGCAGCACATGGTGAAGCGGGAAGTTTTCGCTGAAGTACATCCCGACCGCCGAGCAGCCAGCCGACTTTTTGACGAAACCGCTGCACTATTCGGCCTTCAACCGGTGCTTCGTCGCGATCGGCCAGGTGCGACTGGTGCGGTGACTGGCGTGCTGTGTGTTGTGTGCACGCCGAGCTATTCTCCGAGTAGTGCTGCCGTGTGGGGTGGAGGTCCCAAGCGTGAACGCGGCAGGGGAGTGTCAACGGGAGTTGTATGTTGGCCCCGTCCTTGCTTGTGCAGAGCGGACTTCGTTGTCGGGCGTGCGGGGAGCGCAGCCGACCTGCTGCTGTGGGGGACGCCGTGCTGGGTGTCTGGACGGTGTCCTGGGTGTCTGGACAGCGTCCTGGGCGCCTGGACGCCGACCTGGGCGCATGGACGCCGACCTGGGCGCCTGGACGGCGTCCTGTGCGCCTGGACGGCGTCCTGGGCGCCTGGACGCCGACCTGGGCGTCTGGACGGCGTCCTGAGCATCTGGACGGCGTCTTGGGCGCCTGGACGCCGACCTTGGCGTTTGGACGGCGTCCTGAGCGTCTGGATGGCGTCGTGGGCGCCTGGACGCCGACCAGGGCGTCAGGACGCCGACCTGGGCGCCAGGAAGCCGACCTGGGAGGACGCCGACCTGGAGGCGTCCACCTGGTTGCCTGGTCGACTCAGTTACCCGGGCGACGGGCACTGCGGGGTGCGCGAGAGTCGCCCAGGAGGTTTATGCGAGGCCGACCTCGGAAGTGGTATCCCGAGGTCGACGTGGCTAGTGGGCGCAGTCGCTGGCGTGTTCTCAGCCTGGCGTCTGCGTTGTGCACTTGGACGAGGCATGGTGCACCAACCACCTACGCGCACCTGTAAAGCGGGTGCACCGTTGTCATGCGGGTGCAACGCTGTGCAGCCGACTTGCTACAGCGTTGGCACACCGTGGACTTGCAACGTTCGCAAGCCACTAAAGTTGGCAACGTTGGCAACGTTGCAGTGTTACCTTGGCCATCTAAACACTCAACCCCCCTTCCACTCCGCGCTCCTCCCACCTTCCCCCCTCCCCCCTTCTCGCTTCCACCCCCCCACGACCACCCCACCTTAGCACGAAACACCTACAAAACACACACACACATATATACACACACACACAGACACACACACACACACATACACACACACACACATACACACACACACACACATACGCACACACACACACACATACACACACACATACACACACATACACACACACATACACACATACACACACACACACACACACATACACACACACACACACACACATATACACACACACACACATACACACACACACACACACACATACACATACACACACACACGCACACACACACACACACATACACGTATATACACACACACACACATACACACACACACACACACCCATACACACATACACGCATGCGCGCGCGCGCGCGCGCACACACACACACACACAGACACACACTGAAAGTCATCAATAAAAAAGAAGTGATGATACAAAATGTATCTGTATACCCGAAGTCACAAACATAATATTCATAATGACATCCATAACAATCTGACGACTAAGCAAAACACACGACCGAAAAAGGCAGCATCAGACTGAGCAAGGACTCCGTAGACCCGAAGAAACAAACTGACGACACAAACACGCAACAGGAGCCCGAGAAACATGTCAAACCCCCAACACCAAAATCAGCAGACATAAACACGCATCCAAAAACATGAACGAGAACTTCAAATGTTCGAACAATCCAAAGACCCTTCAGAGAGACTCACGTGTAGAAGACATGAGTCTTTTTTAATCCTGCTCTGACAGTCTGGTCCCCTTCGCCTCTGCTGCTGCCTGTGAGCCGCACATGCGCTGGCCTGTCCTTCCCAGTGGCCTTCCAGTACCCAGCAGTTGTGGCACGATTGGACCGGGAACCTGATGGGTACTTGAGATCGAGGGATGTGAAAAATAACCACTCTCCATCGCCTGGAATAGGGCATTTTTCTCTGGCTGGGAGTGGAGGAGAGGGAGGAATGAGGGGAGAAGAAGGAAATGTGAGATTCCTCTCCACGAGAGGAAGAACCACTTACCGTCAGCAACATCTAGTATCACGAAGGATGAAAAGGGAAGGAGTTCTTTCTTTATTCGCAGCTATTGGCCATTCTATTTGTCTTTTGCAGTGATGCTTGGTTCTTTGGCTGTTATTGAAGCAGGGAGTGATGCGAGTGATGCGAGTTTTTTTGCGAACTGCCGCTGTCAGCTATATGAGCTGGGGCTCTGGCTGTTAATGGATCAGGGGACTGCAGATAAAAAAAGAAAGGGAAAGAAAGGAAGAAAAAAATGGAATGACAAAATCTTGTATGATAAGTGAGGGTTGGTGTCCCAAACTGTACTATCACTGAGTAGGATAGGGGTTCGTCAATTCTCCTGTACCAGTGAGGATGAATCAGCTGCCACCTGCTGTGGAGTTTGTTGTTTTGGCTGTTTTTTTCAAATCAAGAGGGTTAATGAAATGATTGTGGTTCTTGGTGTCTCCCATATCAGATGCTACTTCTGGAGCTTAGAACACAGAATGAATGCCTCCTGCTGCATCTGGGCTTAGTGGTCTGGATGATACAAAATTAATAGGGTGAGGACAGAGGGGGAGAGGGGTAAATAAGTTTTCCAATGTCCAGTTCTGAGGCATGGTGTCCTTGTTTACTGTTTGCTATCTTGGATTCTGTGTAAAGCAGCTTCCGAAGGCGTCATCCAGAGAAGGTCCTATTTCTGAACCAGCAGGTCCTATTTCTTTCTACTGGCAGGGTGAGGGGTTCCCCTGTTAGGAAGGGGGGGGGGGGGGGGGGGGGGGGGGTGGGGGTAAGGGGGTTGAAAAATCTGTTTGATTTAACTTAACATTGATATAATCAGTCATGGGGTGCCTTTTTTTCTCAAACGGCCCTTTGGAAGTTCCTGCCCCACGCTTGTTTTTCACGCCGGGTGTCAGCTATGAGAAATAATGCAACGCTTACGTGAAAAGCTTAAGATTTTGTTCAGAATAGCAGGGTGCAGCACTCAACGAGAGTGGGAAGGGGTTCTATAGGGTTGTGGGAAACGCTGTGGGGTTGAAATGATGTTTGAGGCAGTACCTGGCAGTTCCCATGGCTCGGACTTGTACAGATCCACGTTGCCAATCGCGTTCCATGCGATGGGAAGGCCCTCGACGCGCCGCCTGAGGTAGTAGCACAGCAGCTCCTCGTCTGTAGGCCGGAATCTAAATCCTGGCGGGAAACTACTATTCTCGAGAATTATCATGATTGCACGTGGCGGCTGTTCGTTTGCACGCGGATTTCCTATTGCGATAGCAGTGGCACCGGGACTAGTAACTTCTTGCACGCCCCCAAGAAGGTCAGCAGCTTGAAGATTCGAAGGAGAACTTGAAGATGGGTCACATTCCGCCCTAAAACGAGATCGGAGGAAAGATACAGGACTAACCTTTTTGCACCGTGCATTGCCTCACTTGGGCTATTACTGCGTCACAAAATTTCTGGCCCCAAAAACATGCCCACAAGGGTGGCATAATATGAAGTATCCTGCGTGATCTATCTTTGAACAATGCCCAATCTT